TCCTATTCCTTTTCTTCCCTGGCCCGTTTCTTTTTTTTTTTCTTCCTTCCTCCTTTCTTCTTCTTTCCATTCCCAGGTCATTTATGTTTTTCTTCGTTTCCTTCTTCTTATTCTTTCCTTTATCTTTTCTTCTTCCTTCCCTCCTTTTCACTCTCTCTTAATGCCACTACAGATCCAACCATCAACTCACCCTCTCTCTCTCTCTCTCTCTCTCTCTCTCTCTCTCTGTGGTTCCACTAATGAATGGTTGTGGTGGTTTGATTGGGTGGTGCTGGTGGTTTAGCTGGGTATGTGGTGGCTGGTGATGATGGTTCGATTGACTGATTGGGTGATGGTGATGGTTCGATTGGGTATGTGGTGGCTGGTTATGGGTTTGATGGTGGTGGTCTGATGGTTGTGACATTGGGGTAATGGTGGTATGTTTGATGTTTCGGGCTTCTGTATTTGATGGTGGTGGTGGTATTCAGCCGTTCTCCGTGTACAAAATAGCGCCCTCGCTATTTAGAGAGCCAAATTTTGGGATCGCTATATTAGACAAGCGAGTCCAATGGTTTTTTACCCATTGGACTATATAATCTCATTTAACTTAATCCCTTCCCTTACCAAACATAGGTTTTTAGGACTATTTAACCCAGTTCAGTCCAGTGAGGGTTAGTGAAGCATCCCAAACAGGGCCTAAGACAGTTAAAAAAAACATCGATAAACAAATAATTTTCAAGAAGAAACATACGATAACCCTAAACCAAGCCTCTCTAGTGGAGTGGGTGGGGGGTGGAGGTGGAGAAGCAGATCTGACAGGGCTTTTTGGCTTCTTCTTTTTGTTTTGATGTTGTAGGTTTACGAGTTGATGTATTTTTGGTGGTATTGCCCTTGCCTCCACTGTGGGGGTGGTGGTTGTTAAACTGTAGAGTTTTATGTAGTTTGTCCTATTGATGAAATACGTTGTTAAATTGTAGAGTTTTATGTAGTTTGTCCTATTGTATTTTATTTCATCAAGTTTTCGATAGTATTTAACATTATTCAACGGCCAAAAACAAAGAATGAACATTGTCAAGCATCCAAGTTATTGCTAACTCTTCTGTCAATTTCATCATTAAAATTCAACCACAAAATCCAAACATTGCATTTATAAGACGATGACTTTAACATACCACCTTACCCCTTAGAAAGAAAAGGTGGAAGAGAGGTCTCAAGCCATCTCAACCAAAAAAACTTGTTGATCGCTGGATATATTAATATTCCTAAACGGAATCAGTGCATGTAGGTAAATCACTGTACTCATATTCCTAAACAAATCCTTACAATCATATACAATAATTGCGAAATTTTATAAGGGTCAGCTGACCACTCTAATTATTCATTCATCACTCTAATTAATCATGGATACGGCCATGTCCATCTGGACGTTGCATTTTAGGTATTAAGTTTAGAGAGACAAAGAATATGGGAAAGTATTTGATATTCCTTGAATGAATATTTACAGCATCATGCAGCCATTATATGGCGATAAAGGAGAGCTATTACAGGAAAGAAATAATGTACAATATTCCTATGCTATAATTAGGGAATATACAACTAATCAATGGGATTTTGTCTAACACTCCCCCTCAAGTTGGCGAGTGAATGTCATGAAGTCCCAACTTGCTACTTAAGTGATGAAATTGTTCTTTTCCCAATGGTTTGGTGAAGATTTCTGCAAGTTGAGAACGGGATGGTACATAGGATGGTGTAATTATGCCAGCTTGTAATTTTTCTTGCACAATGTGACAATCAATCTCAATATGTTTCGTGCGTTCATGAAAAACATGATTTTTGGCTATGTGATAGCCGCTTGGTTGTCACAAAATAAATCTGCGGGCTGAGTTTGTGGAACCTTGAGATCTTGCAAAATATATCACATCCATGTAATTTCCAAAACATGTTGCAACCATAGCTCGATATTCTGCTTCAGCGGAAGAACGGGCCACATTGGCTTGTTTCTTTGACTTCTAGGAAATTAAAGAGTTTCCTAAGAAGACATAGAATCCCGAAACAGATCGCCGTGTTGTCGTACACCGTGCCCAATCTGAGTCACAATAAGCTTTTAAAATTAGATCATTAAAGCAAAGAAAAAATAATCCTTCACCAGGATGGCCTTTAATGAACCGTAAAACTCTCAAAGCAGCTTCCCAATGAGGTGTACAAGGATTCTGCATAAATTGACTCAAGATTTGCACGGAGTATACTATATCAGGCCTTGTCACTGTGAGGTAAATTAATCTCCCAACCAATCTCCTATATTTGGTGGGATCATGTAACAAATCGCCATCTTCAGGATTTAATTTTAAATGCTCCTCCATTGGGAAGGAATTAGGACGAGATCCCAATAATCCTGCATCCTTCAAAATATCTAATGCATATTTTTGTTGTGAAACAAAAATCCCTTTTCGGGACCGAGAGACTTCAATGCCGAGAAAATACTTTAGATGTCCAAGATTTTTTATGCGGAATTGTTGCAAGAGAGTATCTTTGAGGGACTTAATGGCGTGTTCATTGTTGCATGTTAGAATAATGTCGTCTACATAAATGAGCACTGCAGTAAAGGAGTTGCCTTCAGACTTGGTAAATAAGGAATAATCGGCCTTTGATTGAATGAAACCTGCCTGCGGGAGGCTTGCTTTAAACCATACAAGGACTTGTTGAGCCGACATACCATATTCTCCCCCTGCCGGCGAAGACCAAGGGGAACATCCATGTAGACAACCTCATCAAGATCACCATGAAGGAAGGCATTTTGAACATCCAGTTGATGGAGGAACCAATTGCGAGAAGCAGCAACTGCTAAAAGACACCGCACAGTAGTAAGTTTGGTAGTGGGAGAAAAAGTCTCCTGATAATCAATCCCTTCAAGCTGGGTATAACCCTTAGCAACAAGACGGGCTTTGTAGCGTTCGACAGAACCGACAGAATGGTATTTGATCTTGTAAACCCATTTGCAACCAATAGGCTTATGACCGGCGGGTAAAGGAACGAGAGTCCAAGTATCGTTGTGCATGAGGGCATTAAGCTCAGCTTGCATAGCATCCCGCCATTTGGGATCTTGGACTGCCTGATTATAGTTAGTGGGCTCATGAAGACCAGAAATATTAGCAAGAAAAGAAAAATGGGAAGGAGAAATACGAGAATAAGATAAAAAAATTAGAGAGAGGATGCCTTGAACCTCGTTTAGAACTAGACAACAGAGTCAATGATTGATGGGGTCCACGATAAGCAAAGTTCATGTAATAATTTGTCTGCCACGTGGGTTGGGTATAGGTACGAGTGGAATGGCGGAGGGGTGGGAATAGGAGGAGCTAGAAGGTCAGTAGGTGGGACCAATTGAGTATCAGAGTGGGAAACTGGAGAGGTAGGTAAAGGAGCTAGTGTAGGAGGCACGATTGGGGAAGTGGGTAGACTGGTGGTGCTGGAGGTAGAAGAATTGGCAGGGGTATGTCGGGTGAGGTGGTGTGCAGAACGGAAAAGTCAACAGAGGGGTCAAAAAATTGGTGCAAGAGGGAGAGGATGTGAAGTGGGCATGGGGTCCAATGGAAAAGTTAGAGGAAAACCTGTGGTAGGATCAGATGAGGTGATGGGTTTAAAAGGAAAAGTAGTTTCATGGAATCAAACATCCCTACTAACAAAAAATTGCCAAGAATCCAAATCAAATAATTTGTAACCCTTTTGCCCAGAAGGATACCCAACAAAATTACAATGACGAGCACGTGGAGCAAATTTGGAAATGGGATGGACCGTAGTAGCATAACACAAACAACCAAAAATACGAAGATGATCATATGAGGGTGCACAATTATATAAACGTTCAAAAGGTGTGATGTTAGAGAGAAGCGGGGTAGGCAAACGGTTAATTAAATAGACTGCAGTTAACACACACTCACCCCAAAAGCGTATAGGTGCATTAGATTGAAAAAGTAAAGCACGAGCAACTTGTAAAATGTGGTGATGCTTTCTTTCGACAACGCCATTCTGTTGTGGGGTGTAAACACAAGAACGTTGAAATTCAACACCATGAGTAAGAAAAAAGGAACGCAATGAAAGAAATTCGGCACCATTATCACTACGAATGATTTTAATGTGGGAATTAAATTGAGTGGAAATAAAAGTAAAAAAAGACATAAGCAACTGAGGAGCATCAGATTTATGATTCATAAGAAATAACCATGTGCAACCAGAAAAACCATCAACTATGGTTAAAAAATATCGTGCACCCGAATGTGTTGGGTGCTTATGAGGTCCCCAAATATCACAATGTATTAAGTGAAAAAGGAAATTTCGAAGAAATAATACTAGATGGAAAAGGAAAACGAGTCTGTTTTGCTAAGGGACAAATTTCACAATTATTGTCAAATGATGGATGAATAGAGGAAACAAACTTAGACACTAGATGCAAACCAGCAGGAGAAGGATGGCCAAGGCGATGGTGCCATATGGTGCTGGAAGCGGTGGTGTGACAGACAGTGGAGGACTTGCGAACTGGTGACATGAAGTAGAGGCCACCACTTTGCTTACCCCATCCAATCATCTTCCCCGTAGCCAAGTCCTGCAAAACACAAAAATTAGGAAACAAGATCACACAGCAATGCAAAGACTGAGTGATTTCACTGGCAGATAAAAGATTTAAGCGAAGGAAGGCACATGAAGAACATCTTTTAAAATAATATCTTTATTAAAAAGTATCGTGCCAGTAGAATCAATGGAGATGGAAGAACCAGTAGGTAAATGAACAGAAGGTATGGTAGAAGGATGTGATTGAACAAATAAAGAGGAGTTTGAAGTAATATGGCCTGTAGCACCACTATCTAAAATCCAACAGTCCGAAAAAATTGAATGAACATAGGGATAATTATACAGACCTGTTGCATTTGCATATGCATCAATATTACCCTTAGGCAAGTGGGCCATATTGGCCATGGCAGTGGTCAACTGATTATATTGCTTGGTGGAAAGTCCTAGGATAATGGCCTAAAAAGGATGGCTGTCATGGGAAGACAAAATAGAAGTGGAGCCGTGAGGATTATAGCCATTGGTAGGCTGGGACCCAGCAGCATTTGTTGCTGCATTTGCTGTTGCATGGATGGCATGGAAAGCATGGTGTGAGGACTGGTCCATATGTTGTCCTTGTCTATGACTATTGCCTTGGTTTGGCTGGCGAGCTTTGGACTTGAAATTGGGGTCATGGCGTTGGTGCCCAGGTGGGTATCCATGGAGTTTAGGACATGTCTCAATTTTATGCGTGTCCTTGCAATATCTACAAAATAATCCCTCACTATTGGAATTAGAGGAAGAATGAGAAAACGAGTTACCGGAAAATTTGTTGTTGGAATTCTTGAAACTTCGAACAGCCGTTGCTACTGAAAAATTTTCGGCAATTGAATTGTTTCCAATTTCCCGTTGTTTCTCCTCTTGAGTGACAAAATTGTATGCTTCGCGCACATTTGGAAGAGACTTCATAAGGAGGAGCTGTCCTCGGACGGCATTATAGGAGTCATTAAGTCCCATGAGAAACTGCATTAACCGATCTTGTTCCTTCTGTTTTTCTATGGCTAGGACTTTGGTGTGTTCACTAGTTGGAGGAGGATGGTAAACTGAAAGCTCATCCCAATAAGATTTTAATTTAGTGAAGTAAGCACCGACGGTAGATGTACCTTGCATATGTGAAGCAATTGCCTTCTGGATTTGGTAGATTCTAGGTGCGTTACCTTGAGCGAAACGCTCACGGAAATCTTCCCACACTTCGTGGGCTGTTGATGCAAAGACAACGCTAGATGCAAGATCGGATGCTACTGAATGCTCGAGCCATGAAAGAATCATATTGTAACAACGCTCCCACAACTCATATTCGTCGGGCTGCTTGGTTGACGATGGAGCCTCGAATTTTCCGTTGATGAAGCCAAGTTTGTTCTTGGCAGAGATAACCATTTGTACAGATCGACTCCAAGTAGCATAGTTTTCACCATTGAGCAATTCGGTGACTAGTGATTGATTGGGATTTTCTCCATGATGAATGTAATAGCGACTGTTGGTATCTGACGAGGTTGAAGAATCTGGAGTTACCATGGAGATGTTGAAAAGATGGAGTTTTGATTAATAGGTTGTATGACGGCTATGAAGGATGAGAAGGTTCAAGAGCTAGGGTTGCTCTGATACCATATTAAGTTTAGAGAGACAAAGAATATGGGAAAGTATTTGATATTCCTTGAATGAATATTTACAGCATCATGCAGCCATTATATGGCGATAAAGGAGAGTTATTACAGGAAAGAAATAATGTACAATATTCCTATGCTATAATTAGGGAATATACAACTAATCAATGGGATTTTGTCTAAGATTAGGTACGTCTATTTTTTTTGCCAGGTTAATATTCTTCATCTTCTGAAATTCTGTACCAATCTTCTCTTCTGCAATGATAATACAAAACTTTATTAATACTAATTATGCTAAACAATTGAATGATGTATGCATACATATACATGGCCCTTCTAGAGAGAGATTTCTATATTGGATTAAAGTTCAATTATCTAAACTGTTTTCAGCCTCTATTTAAATATCATCCTGACAAAAAGTTAGTTGAATTGGAAATCAATTTATACATTTTAAAAAAAAAATTTGGTCAAATTTATACATTTAATTGTGTTTTAAAGAAATAAGCAAATACATTTTTCGATAAGAACTTTGGACACATATGTACATATTTTGCACTTGCCAAACATGAGAATGCAATTTCAAACCGATTCCCAAGCTCCTAAACCTTGAACCAAATGGGCCCTAAGGGCTCGTTTGGGAGTGATTCTAAATATGACAATAATCACTTCTACATTGGAGAAGCAGGTGAGAGGTGCTTCTCCAAGAATCACTCCAAAACGAGCCCTAAGAACATCAAACACGTGTATATTTGAGTCCGATGTGGGCTTAGCTTCGCTCTGATACCATTTTAAATTTCAGAGACAATTTCAAAGAGATGGGCTAGTAGTCCACTACTAACAATATTGATATTTTCAATTTAATCACCTACAAAACCTAGTAGGTGTAGGGTTTTATCACAATAGCTCTCAGTGTTTTAAAACGTGGTGTCATTCATTATATATTGTATTTCATTCAATCAAGTTTTCAACGTGGAAACTTTATATTCTTCAATACCAAAATGGTTAGACCAGATTATCCTATTTATTACCACCTCTGAAGAAAAATTCACATCCCAAATTTTTATTTCTTGTACTAAAGCTTGTGCTGTGTTTTAGCCAGACGGGTGATGCAGTCCATATGCAAATGATGCATTTGAATATGTTAATCCATTTAGAATTCATAAACTAGCAATCTTTACATTAATTCAATGACTTGAATTGATGATTCAGTCATACAACAAATTGCTTGGACATTTGAAATATGGAAAAGTACTAACACAGGCGACTACTTAATATGTCCTTTAGATATGATTTAAAAGGAAGGGGACAAAATAACCCAAAAGGTTATTGGGCCCAATGAATAAGTGGCATAAGATAACATGAGCTATGGACCAAATGGAGCTCCAAATATCCACCCAGTTGCCTTTTGTATTGTCTTATATAAGCTGAGTGTTGGAGAAAACCTATCTAGGGTTTTTGGTTTCCTACTTTGGTTGATGAGTGATCATCTTTGTATCTTATCTTCCATAAACGAAAAATTGATCCAATCAAGAAGTAGACTAGCATCCATACTTCTTGATTGCCTTCTCTTCATCTCTATGAGCATTTGGTGTGGTGAGGTAAAGGACTCCAATCTCGGAGCCTTAGGGTGAATGAGTCAAAATCAAGAGAAACAAAAAGCATTTCCAACAAAGGTGTTCATTCTTGAGAAATTAAGAAAAGGTCATCAAGGGTAAAGATCTATTCCCTTTTTCCCTTTTCTATTTGTGTTCAAAGATACTAGGCTAAGATACTTGGTTTAAAATGAAAAAGGTTTAGCTCAACTAGTATAAACAAAATGAATTCGCCATTTAAAATGTTTTTGTTGTATAGGTTGTGGCTAAAGTTCATTTCCTAAGTATTAAATGTATGTTTCCTTCAAGTCTATCTTCATTAGTGAAATTTCTCAAGGGGATCACCAAAGAGGAGGTAGGCAAATTGCTGAACCTCTATAAACACTTATGTAATGCAAGGCAGATGAATAATGTGATTATCCCTGAATCTAACTTTTCCCAAATGCGGAAATAAAAGTGACATCAACAAATAAATGAGACACAAGAATTTAACAAGGTTTGGAAATTTGTGCTCTTATGATAATGTCGTTAAAATTTCTTTACACGGCTAATATCAGATTAACAACGCTGTCTAATAGGAATTAGACGACGGTAATTTTTTTAATGATGACGTATATATTATGAAACACGGTTGTCTTTTGAATGATAACGACGTTGTATATTGACGACAACGTCGTCTTTATAAATTAATATGTCGTAAGTAATGACCCCAACATATTTTCCACGTCGTTTATTTTAAGATCGTGTCGTTAAAACTATTTTACACGGCAGTGAACTGAGAAACCTTGCCGTGTCAGATCCATTAGACGACGATTATGTTTTAAGAGATGACGTATAAATTCTGTAATACGGCTCTCAATTATTTGTAACTGACGTTGTTTATTAGTACAACATCGTCAGTTTAGATATATGCGTCGTAAGTAATGACCCAAACATCTATTTCCACGTCATCATTAATAGAAAAATCGAAGTGGAAAATTTATTTCACAACGGTTGTTGAAAAGATACTGACATAGTAGGAGTCAATAACGTCGTCGATTATGTATTTAAAGACGTCATATTTTTATTTGTCGTGAAATGTATATTTAACGGCGCTGGGAGACGTCATATTTTTATTTGTCGTGAAATGTATATTTAACGGCGCTGGGTTTTAGTTCTCGTCGTTGTATGTATATCTTGTGGCCATGTTCTGTTAATATATGTCATATGTTTCCTTTTTAACGACGTTTTTTGTTAGAATTGGTCGTCTATTCTCATCATCGACTGTTTTTTTATCTCTTTTTCCATTACAAAGACGTCGGTTATTATTTGTTAATGAAGTTGTTTGTTTTAACAACGACGGTGATTTAGCGTCGTGGTTTGACACCCAAATAGATGTCGGTCGATTCCATGACGGTTTGAAATCCGAATACACGACGGTGAATTCCCATCGTCTTTATCCTTTTTTGTAGTAGTGGGATCACCAAAACTTTATTTGAAGTTTTGGATGCTCAGATTCTTCTTATTATATCTTCAGATGCATTTCTAATGCCTATTTATAAGCATAACCTTCAGTGTGAAAACACCAAGATTGCAGGCTGCATCAAAGGAAGAATACAGCTGCCCACCAACTATCTTCAACATATATATGCTACACCGTTATGGAAGTTTACGAATTGTTATTTTATGAGCTCTAATTGGCAGAGCAGAACATATCCCAATGCATCGATTGCATTGTTATGGACTGCATCTGTCAAGAAAATTAAATTCAGCACAAGCTTTAGTCCAGGAAATGTACAATTTGGGATGTGAATTTTCATAAGATGTGGTAATATCTGGTCTAACATTTAGGCTACAATACTAGCCTAGCAGGTGATTCAATGAATAAGTAGAGTAGTTAGCTACCCTTCTCAAATTTGCCATATATTGTATATGAATGTACGTATTTGATATTTTGATTACTGCCTTTTATCATCAATCATTGCATATGAATTGTAATATAAATTGGCATAGGTGGCTCGATACAAGCCATGATGTGTAAGTCTCATATCGAAGAATACAACAATAATATATGGTCCACTATTGCACCGAGGCATTTTGGATAAAATTGTTAACCAACCCAAGGATTGGACCTAGAGGTCGATGGTCCACTATTGCACCGAGGCATTTTGGATAAAATTGTTACCAACCCAAGAATTGGACCTAGAGGTCAACTGGGCCTAACCCAACCCAAGGATTGGACCTAGGAGGTTAAGGTGGGGAGAATATTGGTGCATGTTTGGACAGTTAGTGGACTTGGTTTGGACAGTTAGTGGACTCCTATTGAGTCTGTCCTCACAACACAAATAACTGTTACCAGTCATAAAACCGTATGGTAATATAGGTTATAGGGTGCTTGTGGAAATATGAATGTTATGCACCCATTGCAGCATTATATATGAACAGCCTTCAGCCGTCAGGCAAATCAAATTCAGGAGAAGATTTTAGTTCATGAATAAAATTTGGGATGAGAATTTTCTTCCATCAAATGTGGTAATAAATAGGATTATGGCGAAATCAGTTTACTCTGATACAAACCAGAACTCAGTACTTGTATGAAAGGATTAGTTGAAGATTTTAATCTAGCTCAAAGCAATATACAAGATAAAGTTGACATGAAAAGACATGCTCAAATTATGTTTAAACAAAAGGATCGTAATTTTGCTCTAACCTCATAGGTCACTAGCAATTTAGATCTTAATGCGTTGTTCAAGGGTAATATCATCGGTTCCTCTATAGGAAGCAGCAGTTTGAAACAATATTACCTGAGAAACCATGAGCATTGTTGGCCTCGATTGTGGATGGGAATGTCTGCATGCAATTGATAGCCTCGCAATGGTTCTGAGTTCATCAAGAACTTGAGGTTTAGGAGGGGGAAGGCGTTTGTCCAGTACATCCTTAAGCAATATATGTTTGGATAGGTACTAGTGGATGGACATGTAAAGGATGAGACGAAATTGGCTAGCTGCTTTCCCATAATCACTTCCAGCGCCAGCACTCCAAAGCTATAAACATCACATTTCTCAGTTACCTTCATTGTGTAAGCCACCTCTGCATACAAATTAAGAAAGAGCAAACCATAAATATATACATCTATAGTTAATATGAATTAAATTTAAAAAAAATACTATATTTAAGTATTTAACCTGGTGCTACATATCCATATGTGCCCGCAAGAGAAGTCCAATTCGACGAGTCTGGATTCAGAAGCTTAGCAGTGCCGAAGTCTGAAACATAAGGCTCACAGTCACAATGCAGCAAAATGTTGCTGCTTGTTATGTCTCGATGCACAATAGGCGGTGAGCAATCATGATGCATATAACACAAGGCATTAACAACCCCTTTTACAAGTCTCACCCTTGTGCTCCAGTCCAACTTTTCAGCTTCATGCTCGTTGCTCAAGATTGCAGCCAAGCTACCTTCTTCCAGATACTCATAGACCAAAAACGAGTGACGGGAACTTGAACAAAAACCAAGAAACCTCACAATGTTTCGGAGTCGTATCTGAGTTAATGCCCTTATTTCATTAAGGAATTCCTTATTCTGAGATGCCTCGTCACCATCAAGTGTCTGATGGAATTTCTTCACAGCAACAGTGCTGCCTGATGGCAGCTTTGCCTTGTAGACACTTCCCTGTCCTCCCTTCCCGACGCAATAGACATCATCAAAAACATTGGTTGCTTTCATGATTTCTCCATACATTTTTCTTCCATCAAAATTAGATATTGAGAAAAAGCTTTGGTACATATTGCTCTGTCCTATTTCCGTCTCTTTCTTTCTTCTTCTTCTTCCAAACAAAGCAAATGCCAGGAAAGCAAGTAAAAGTGCTCCTAAGATAGGGAAAATTATTAAGAAGGCCAGTTTTGAGTTGTGCTTATATTCATCAGAATCATCGCACGGTTTTAGTGCACCAACATTGCCACACAATCCGTCATTCCCTTCCACCCGAGGATTTTGAAATGCTTTGTTGTTGGGGATTGGACCCTGCAGTTCATTGTAGGATATGTCGATGTCATTCAAGCCACGCATTTCATCAAAACTTGTTGGAATGAAACCTCTAAGATTTGTTGAAAATACTAATGCCCATTTGTGACTAAAAGATCCAAAAGGTTCTAGAAGAATCATTATTGGTGGAAGAACCTAGAGTTGTGGAGAAAAGAATAAGGAGGTGGACCATGATGGCTAAACAATAGCCACAAAAATATAGAAGTTTCTAGGCAAAGCCACATACATGTGGCTGGAGTAAGAGACCAAGTCGGTGGAACTTGGTGATGTCGGCAAAGCATTCCTATAAATAGGCATGCAATGCAATAAAGCATGGTGGAGTGAACCAATCATCTCCCAATCTATGTGGGAGCAAAAAAGCTACCCAACCCAAGTCATATGGGGAGTCTAACAAAAAGAACTCCCAAACTAATGGAGCTAAGCTACTCAAAGAAAGCTATGTTGAGGGCAGCTCACCAATCTAAGTGTAAGGGCCAAATAGCCCAAACTATTCTAAATGAAGTGTTGGGGCCAATAAGCCAATATGCTAAGGAGGCCAATTAGCCTACACTAAGCCATGTATTTTCCTCCAAATATAATAAAATCACTTTGTTTCCCCTACAATCTAACAAGATTATTGTGGGAAAGATTCAACTTCTCTAAGCTTTGCATACTGCTCATTTCTGATGGTATCTTACCCTCAAGTGAGTTGTGACTTAGATCAAGTTGGGACATATGTACTAACTTTCCCAACTGAAATGGAATTTCTTGACTGAACTTGTTATTGCTCAAATTCAAGTAGTGCAATTTGAGCAAATCGCCAAAAATGACTGGAATTGACTCATTGAATTTGTTGGTGGACAAGTCAAGATATTCAATATCAGTCAATGATATCCAAATTCTGAGGGTATAGGACCCCAAAGTTGATTGCCATTCAACATCAAATTCACCAAAGAAGTCAATCTCCCAAGGTTCTTTGGGATCACCCCGACTAAACTATTGGAAGAAAGATCGAGTTCATGAATTTGGGTTGCATGGCTAATCTCAGGTGGAATACTACCAGTAAGCTTGTTCCCCGCAATTCGTAGTGTTGCCAATTGTGGACACTGTCCCCAGAGCTGTGAGATTTCACCGTGCAAGT